GGGATAAACATGACTGTTGTTGATTGGTGAGAGCATCAATCAGCCGGACATAATTTGTCAATTTATTTCTCGAGAAGAAAATCCGTTTAGCTTTCTTCAATCCTTTTTTTTAGTGTATTCTCAAATTTTTCTGGTTGTTCCTGTGATTGAAAAGGATTTGGATCCGGCAGTATTAAAAATATGCCAAATCCGGTTACAAAAATAATCAAGATGCAAGAACTTGAAGCCCGCCTGAAAACGAAGAGATCATTCTTCAGTGTGGATGCTCCTATTGTAGTAAATGATCTCATATGGAAAATTTCACAGGATTTTTAGGCCTCTTTGCTCCCAGTGATAAAAAGGAATGCTTTCACATGAAAGTATAATTCTCATCATAGATTTCAATTTTTTTATAGTTCAATCTATCAATATTGAAATTGTATATAAAGAGAGAAGTCGTTGAACTTAAGGGTCATTTAACATCCTGTATGTGCCAAGACTTACTATTTCATTCATCAAAGAATTTCTCTTAAAAATTAATATTAGTGTTGAATTGGCTTTCATTTTGCCACTACTTTCTGTTTTGAGATATTTATTTTAGATAATATATGGACATTTCCTTCATCCCTCCGACCTAAAAACAGTCTCTGGGCTCAAATTAACCCAAGCCGCACCTTGTGCGGCCACCCACCCTAGTATTATGCAAAAGTTCAACAAGTTTGCAAGTGAATTGTGTTACGAGGAGACTATCTCTAAGATGGGTTTAACCTTTCAGTTATTAATTTCTTACCTTTGTTGTGTAAGAAATTAAAAAGGTGGTACTATCATTTTAAATTTTTTTATTTCATAATTATTGACAAATAAACTATCACCCTTCATAAATAATATTTTAAAGTTATTATGAAATAAATATAAAATAAGAAGAACGATGAGAGAGAGAAAAGATTCAAGTCTGTCTTATTCAATAGGGACTGACCTCTATTTATAGGCTAATTAGATACAGAGATAAGATCAACGAATATGAGTTCTAACTAAATATTATCTCTAGACATGGAATCCTAATATAATTCTTCTATGTTATATACATCCACATTATTAAATATATTTATAACACTCTCCCTTGGATGTCCATTTCTTGGGATAATGACTCGTTAAAACCTTTACTAGAAAAAACCAACTGGGATCAAATTTCTAATAAAGGAAACAGATTACATTTCCAGAGATAATGTTGTCTCGTTAAAACCTTGCCAGGAAAATTTATTGGGACAAACCTCGATCAAGGGAAAAAGAGTAGAACGTGGGGCTACTCCCCTGTTGAGTACATCATTCGTAATCTTCTCAACAAATGTCAATATGTTGACGAGGTTCACCATTGAAGTCAATAATAGACGGATCAGTTTGATTTCTCTACAGACGATCATCTTCACATACTGATGTAATCTTGAGTCTTTTATAGTAACAGAGATCTATGACTAGCATACCAAAAAGGTGTTTATATATACAATCCGCTAATGCCTTGGGTAATAAAACGATACTTATAAGTATTACAATATGGTACTTCAGGACCAAATCGGTTTACATTTCATTAGAAGGCTATAAAGGATTTTATGCACATCAAACCATAGTCTAGTGCACTCAACGGGTGTTAACTGTATATAAACTCAGGCCAAACTACTATGACCGATATTTTACCCAAAATCTTTCATTATTCTTACTTCAGGCAAGTAGCAACCTTTTCGACTTAGCTATCTTTTGTACTTCTATTTTTGAATTCTTAATAATTGTGATAAACTCTTCAGGAGTTTAATGATATTCATGGTATTCAAACTCTGTAATGAGTTTCAATAATATTTAGCCTTCTCAAACTCTCTAAAAATTCAGTGCTAACCAAATAGCAAAGACATATAATTTATGAAAAATTCATATCAATATTTCAAAATAACATGATAAAAAACACATAGAAAATACAAACAATCACCTTAAAGACAAATGTAACGTATTCGGATAAAACATATAAAATCAAGTGCATAAACGGCAATGACCAAAATTTTCAAAAATATGCACCTAATAATTGTCTAGACACATGAAAATACTATAACTTGCGCAAAATTTCATATTAATTTCTCGAGATTCAAAACCATGTTCTTATTGAATCCTTCGGGGATTTTTATCGAAACATCATTTTCAAATGGCAAATATCAAGTATTGTTTCAAGTGATCACTACATTGACTAGTGATATGCTTAAAATTTACCTATTCTTAATATCCTTTTATGTGAAATTTTGCCAATATTTTGAGTACAAATGTGCTATTTATGTGATTTTATCTTTAATTGTAGGAATTGTACTCAAAAGGAGGAATTATTAAATTGTGGGCTAAAATGAAGATAAAAAGTAACTTAAAGGGGAGAATTGAAGATTTGATTAATTAACAAGGATGAAATTGGAACACTTGAAGATTTAGAGGACTGGATTACAATTTTTGTGTTTCTTCATATAATTTGGCCGAAACAAAGGTGAAGGTGCGGCTGATTGGAGTTGAAATTTAAGAATTTTAATCCCAATAGTATTTGGGGAAACAAGTTTTCTTCCTCTCTAAGAAATAGGGTTTGACGGAAACCTATAAAAGGAGGATTAGAGTTTTATTTTTATCATCGAACTTGACCGAAAACTCACGTCTCCCTCACGGCTGCAAAACACTCCCCCGCCGCTCCACCTTCCTGCTACTGCAACTCCTCCGCCGACCTCCACCTTGACCACCACAAACACCTGCTTCTCCTCCTTGCTCACCCCACGCAACACCAGCTTCCTATCTCCTTTGCTTCCTCTCACCCTCCACGCAGATCACCACCATCACCTCACCTTAATCATCATCCTTACTCCATCACCTTTCCTCCACTCTCACGCACCACTTTAATCAGCTCCACTGCCGAGACCACACCACCACCCTCACGTTTCCACCAGCCTCCATTAGCCACCACTTCCAGCACTAATTCATGCCATCATCATCATCCATCAAGGAAGCCGCGCATCAAGAGCAGTACACGTGGAAAGGAGCAAAGTTTGGGATTTATCCTTCGCGATTAGTTTTCGGCGGCATTGTTCTTCTTTCGGGTTTTATTGTTTTTGTTTTGTTTATTAAATTTCAGACCTTTTAGATGATGATGCTCAATATTATTGAATTATTTTTTTATAATGTTTAGAGGCTAAATTTTTATAACTTAGGGCCTGGGTGTAGCCACCGAATTTATTTTGTTTATTTGGTTCATTATTATTTGATTTTTCCATTAATTAATATCTGTTATTCTTGTTTTAATCCATGTAAGTAATTGGCCACTATTTACATGTCTGAAAATACTAATCAAAGTAGCGAGAGTGGAAGATTAGTATTAGTTCGTAGGAATATAGACTTAGGTTGTAAGCTACGAGAGTAAGATTATAACCTTTGCAATGTTTGATTCTTAATGGTCTTAATGTGCTTTTGTTTAATCCCTATAGTCACGAGAGTAGTCATAGGGTTAATCTAAGTAAGAGAATTATAACACGAGAGTGTATAGTTCTTAATTAGGTGAGTCGTTGTGAGTTTAATGGAAGTTAAAAGTCAAATGCTTATGAATTGAACTAAACCAAATATTCGGTAGGTGAACCCAATGTCCTAGGTTTTCTCAACTTGATTGTTTCAACCTTTGAAAGTAATTGCATATTTTAGATTCTAGCTTTAGTTTTATTTTAATTGAAAATCTGAGATCATCATTTATCTAGATAATAATAAGAATAATTTATACCTAATAATTAGTTATCCTTCTCTGTGGGTACGACCTTATTTTTCGCTAAACTAGTGTTAAGTAGGTGAATTTATTTGACTAGTTGTGACGATGGCTTGTCAACTAGATGTATTTTATTTCTTCATTTGCTGAAAGATTTAGCAAATAACGGAAGAATAATTATTTTCACCCACCACAAGAGAATTTATCTCTTTATTATTAACATCCGGACTTTGAGAGAACTTGTATAATAAGTCGGTTGCTCATTGATCGTTCGCACAATCACGGAACATCATTTAGGCGGTGTATTACTTGTCAAAGCTTCTTGTCTTTCAAGCAGTTTTAATTCAACTTACACATCTTCAGGTGTGTGTATCGCGTCATTTCATGTATTGTGCCTATTAAATTCAATGTCTGCGCCTACAACAGACTTTCATTTCATGATCTTCATTGTTATTCATTTCACTAGCTGCTACAGTATAAGCAAATTTCATGTCGACATTTTATTGCTGATTGATTCCATCTTTCTTTAATAATGAGATCTCAACAATCATTAAAGTTTCTCAAGTGCGTTTATACTTCTTCTGGAAGTTAATTCATCATAGTGGAAAACTATTCAGAAACTATTCAAATTCAAAGATTCATGTGAATTCTAATCACTCGTATTTGTCATCTCTATATCTTTAAATATTCTTATTACAAGGATTCTTATTATTGGAATCGATGGACTACCACTCAGTAAATGGACATTTGATTAAAAATAGTGACAGATGTTTTTTTTTAACTTTTCCTCCTGATGTTGGGATAACTAGTTTGTCACACTATCTGTCCGCCAATCCCGATACTAGAATCGTGTATTCCCAATTCCCTTCTCATAAAAATTAAATATTGATGAGGGGATCTCAACTCGGATCAGATCAATAAAGGAGTAACAACTCCACTAGAACATTGCAATCCCTCTAAACTCATCAGGCAAAACAAATAAAACAAACACAACGAAAAACCCGTCTTCAAAATCATGAGAGAAATTGCATCAGTGGTAAACCAGGATCACCCCATAAAAAATCAAACACCACAGAATTCACAAACCCATCCGAAAGATTCCATCACAAAGTACCACATGCAAAATCTTCGAGGCAATCCAAACAAACTAAAATTCAAAATACTGAGTCTTTCACATATCTAAAACATTAAGAGGCAAAGACCCCGCAGCATAATAATTCCAATACTTCCGAAGAACCCATGATTTAGAAACTGCTTACCTTGCCGCGGATGATGAGCCAGCAGTCCTTGGAGTGATGTGCCAGGACACTTCAGCAAAAGTGCAAACTTTTGTTTCATTGGATGTGATGTCTTGGCAAAGTTTCGTGCACGGGTGGCGTGCAACTTGACGAGGGCCAAAACCACGCCAACGCTTCCTATCGATTAAACCGACTTCCCTGTATCAAAATCCTAGAATTTTCTCAGTTGGTTAGAGCGTCGAAATAAATATAAAATACAGAAGAAAGCGATGAGAGAGAGAAAGGATCAAGTCCGTCTTATTCAATATGGACTGGTCTCTATTTATACGCCAAGTAGATACAGAGATAAGACCAACGAATATGAGTTCTAATTAAATATTATCTGTATACATGGAATCCTAATATAACTCTTCTATTTTATGGACATCTACATTATTAAATATATTTATAACAGTACCTCTTTTATTAATTTTGACTTGTTCTACCGCTCTTTAACAAAAAAAATTCCCTTTTTTTTCATCTTCCAACTTGCTAATGAGTTTTGCATTCTAGCGACGAACGATGTTAATCCCTGATTGAACATGCCTGCAGTTTAATATTGGCATTTTACTTTCAAATCAATACTGTATTCCAAGTCGTTTCAGTATCGAATTTAGTTTAATTTTGGAGTTATATGAACTTTTTTTCTTTTTTAATTAATGAATCAATTCATGTTTCTTTCAGTCAAATTAAATAATCACCATACCCTCCCGAACATGATTTGTATAACTCATTTAATTTACCCGCAGACCGTGATCAAAGCGAAAGAGAAGGAGAAGAAAATATACCACAAATAATTCCAGCAAACCAAACCATCAGATCACCGAGGATCTGGAAAAAAAGAAGAAGAAAACAAAGATTGGAAGTATAAATCATCCGTTTAATTGTATATTTTAACAGACTTCTCATACCTAGGGCGATTCCTAAGGCAGGCTCTTTTAGGAGTATTATCAGGATGCTCCAACCCAAGGTACTGCTGCCCGAATTCACTAAAATCACCTTTCCTCTTAAACCTATTAACTACAATCTCCCTGTCTTCAATATAATTCTGCGATCCATGTGATATTTCAGCGAATTTCCACTTTGAAAACTCCTCATCCGGAACCTGCAACCTCTTCTGAATCCGCAACTTCACTTCACCTAATTTTTCCCTCTCATGAACGACCAGGAAAAAGGGTTCTCCGAAGAATTCACGTTGTCCAAATGCTGCTTTTTTCACAGTGAAATAGACTACACGAATCAGGTGGGCACCAGGGCCAATGTTCTTTTCTTCCTCCGGAATCTCCTCGGCGCGACGTTTGATCCACCAATAATCACTCATATTTTCAATACTCTGTTCCAGAGGAAAGATCTTGGTTATCTTGTTGAATACAATCTCAACCAATCTAAGCTCTGCATTTGGTTGAGACAATTCAACCTCTGTTTTTATCTTTTCCAGTACATCTTCTACAATACTCTTCTTTGGTAACTCAACATTGAGAATTTGAAGTTCACCACCCATCTGATCATCTCTTTTCGTGGCGGAGCAAAATGCGATTTCCAGCGTTTTCAACGATTGCAACTCCGGCAGAGGAATGTTTAGTACCTTATAGTACAGAATATCTGAACCCAGACCGTAATGGACAAGCATCTCCGACAAGTGTTCAGCGGATCCGTGTGGAATGAATTCAGGCTTCGGTTTCTGAGTGTAGGAATTGTGGGATGTGAGCTGAATTTTGGATGGATCATCCAGACCGAGCTCCTCTGCTACTCTGTTCACCACATCATCATAACCGTGATTCTTTGCCAGCTCCAGGCAGAATTCATCCTCCTTCGGATATTCCAGGCTTCGAAAACGTACAACCTGTCGATTCTTGAGGTATTTGAAATAGGAAACAACATCGGGATATGGAAGTTGTCTTTTAAGTTCTGGTGAAAGGAGCTTTTGAAAGCAGAGGATATCCCCATCTCCAATCCCATTGGATTTGAACGAACCACATATATCGAGCCGTTTAAATACTACCTCTGGTTTAAATTGACGTTCCTCAAAGATTTCGATATCTTCCTCTATAGAAGATCCAGCCAACTCATTTAGCTTTTCCATGATTTCATCAGGGCATTCATAACTCTTGACAAATAACCTGCCCACATATCGAAGCTCTTTCTTCTCAGGATCATAGAACTTAAGGAAAATCAGGATATCTTCGGAAGTCCTTTCCGGTGGAGGCAGAGGAATTAAATCGTGGTTGTACTCAACTTCCAGAAACAAATCAAGTTCAATGCTTTGATTAGTGATTGAAACTTCTTTGCTCAGCCAACCGACCGACCACTCTTCCTCTAGAGGTGTTAATGGCTGATCAGGACGGTAAGTCTCGTTCTCTCTCTCCCCCCAAATCCAAAACCGCTGGTATTCAACAGGGATACCCAATTCTCGGGCTACCTCTTCTTTGAAAAAACGAAAAGGCAATTCTTTTGGTATCAGAAAGCTTCTAACTTTATCAAAATTAACCAGGTCAAACTGTATATCCTTCCCAATCTGTTCTCTCAGATCCTGATCACTGGCGACCATGATGTTGGTAAAAAGGCGAGCCTTAGATTCATAACTTAACTTTTCCTCCTTCTCTTCTTCTTCCTTCTTCAACCTTATCCTCAGGTGTTCAGCAATGTCATTCTCATCAACATCGCAAACAATTTTATCCTTGTCGCTTTCGCGAATGTACACAAGCATGTATGCATTCGAAAAAGTATCCTTGCCGCCATACTGCTCCTCCAGCGCCTGTTTCTCATCCTCTTTGGTAACTTTTTGATCATTGAATTTATACCATTGGCCACCCAGAGCCGGCCTGATGAAAGCATAATAATGTCCACCTCGTACGCCGCCCCTATGGACCAGAACACTGTGAAGTGTGTAGAGATTTCGGACACTTTTATCCGAATCAGGTGACAAATACTTGCCATCCTCCCTATCAAGGTCGAGTTGGACAGGGAACTCATACCGATCATTGATCTTAACCATTGAATTAGTCAAAACGTCATACTCAAACCGCTTGAGATGAAGCTGAAGAACAGGAGGGAAGTCGGTGAGAAGAACACCTTTCTTAGCATCTTGCAAACCATGTCCCTCAGCGTGGTACTTATTCTCACCATCAAGTTGTTCAACTTCCACATACTTATCAAAGGACGCGTACACGTCGTCGCAGCCTTTGACATCAAGTTGAAGATCATAGAAAGACTCCTTTCTGGTAGACTTGAAGTTTATGTCGACGCATTCGAAGTAATTCATCTGGTGCCCTTCAAACAACTCTTGGATTGTCCCTTCAACAACAGTTCCCTTCATCTTATCCTCGAGCTTTTCGCATAAAACCCGATTCAGTTCCTGGACATCCTGCTGCATAAACGACTCAGATGTGTCCCAACCAAACGATTTAGTCAAGTCTTTGGTCCCAACACTTGTATTAGTACACTGAAGCTTATAAAACAAACTCTGAAGTGCAAGAGGAATACTTTTGGAAGGCACATCGTTTTCCGTGGTTGGCATGTGATAAACGGATTTCCTGAAGTAAGGAATGTGGTACAAGGTTTGAAGAAGAGAGTTCATGTAACAAGTTGCTCCCTGATTCTCTAACCCTACAAATCCGGTCTCTTTCTTTGAATCATATGTCCAGCAATCTTTAACTTCTTCATCCTCATCAGAATCAGCTTCGACTTTGAATTTCACAAGAAGAGTGTCATTGACAAGGAACCCTTTATTGGGATTTCGAAGTTCTCTAAGAGTCATAAAATACCTGAACCCGCCTTCTGAGTACAGTCGACTGAACCTTTTCGACTCGCACTGCATGACGGTGCGGTCGTCGTCGATTTGATCGACGATGGCCAAGCTATACAGGGCCGGGTAACTCCAATCAAGAGGCAGGTTAACGGAATCAGCGACACATAGAAAAATGGACAAGTAGTCCTCATTGGTGTTGACGTTGTTACACTTGGGGATAGTCGTGACCCGCCATTTGTTGCCACCGACTTCAAATTCCTTGGAAAAGAGCTTCTTCGTCTTCAATCTTTGAGAAAAGTTCTTAATGGGCCAATAAAACCAATGTTCTGTATCATCCTCGGATTCCGGTTGGGACGCCGGCATCTCAACCTCCATCACCGTCCTGATGACCCGGAATTTAAAACCCGACAAGGAAAAAACTACAATGACGGGGAAAATTTAGGAAGGTGGTAATTCTTATATTTCTTCTATTCCTTTCTTTCTTTCCAATATAAAAAGAACAAATCCCGGATTGTACGGTGAATATAAGGAAATATAATTAGGCCAGGAAGACCCCTTTTTATAGTGAACAATTCGGCCATAACAAAACTTATTATTATTAGGAACCATATTACCACATCCGCTTCAATTTGGAAATTTATAATTACTTAATAATTGACACGTAGACCGAAACTAATTAAAACTAAAATTTTAATCCTACTACGAGTACGAATTGAAAGATTTATACAACAGCCAAATTTCTTGTTGACCGATCGAGACCCCAAAAAAAATTGGAAAAAAAAAAAGAATTTCTTTCATAAGTTTTTTCGCGGTTTAGATTTACTGTATACTCCCTTCGGTCCTTATTATAAAACATTTTGACGTTTCCTAGGTTTCACCTAATACACATATGTAATTAACAAAAAAACCTTCAATATATATTTTCACATTCGTTGTGTGTCTCTTGATTGTTTTGAAATATTTTTAGGTTTTGTCATCGATTAAAAATGTGTATTAGGTTAAATCTAAGACAAATCAAAATAACTTATATTAAGTACCAGAGGGAGTATGTTGTTTTTACGTTAATTTTTTCTTATCAATTTAGCGAAGTTCTCACGCTGTCAGAATTGTCAGTTTGATCATAATAGGATAATTGTTAATCACTTTGGCGGCGAAGATACCATCGTGCAAAGCAGGCTTTCTCGGCTGTGTTATCTTCTTGTTAATTATTCCTTGATTATATTACTTCTAGTCAAACATCGCACTTTAAGAACAAAGTCCTAATCATTTAGTGTTTGGCCTATATAAATCGATTGTCTTACAATTAATTTAAGATACAGTCATTTGAGTGTTTGACGTAAATGGGTTGCCTTACAATTTTCACGCAAACACAAAAAATGCTCTAATTAGCACCAAAAGATTAAGTCGAATCATTGGACAAAGCCATGATTGTTTTTTGAATTAATTTTATTAATAAATTTACTACTGGTACAGACTTTTTGGAAGCTCACGGTATCAAGTTTCTTGTTATCTTACACATATGTACGTGTTTATAGGTCATATATTTTAGGTGTTTCAAAGTTTAGCTGAACGATAAGTGGTAAAAGTGTATTCACTACCTCCACTTTTTAAAACTAACGCTTTAGTTTTGCACATGTATCAAAAAATATTGATTGATAATTTAACTTTTAAGTATAATAGCACTTTACTTACACTTAATTAAGAGTATTGGAACTCTACAAATATTTGAAATTGAAGTAAAAGAATAAGTAGTTGTCGTTAATATGTATTTTATTAAAAGTATAAAGAGATAAAAGTAAAATTGAAAAAAATTGTGTTTAATGTTGCATTGGAAGTAAAATGCTATAGATAAAAAAGAGACGTTTAGGATTCATTCTAAACCGAGAGATTAAAAAGAAAATAGTAGTAGTAAACTAACTAGTATTGAAAACACATACCCTGACTACTAAGCTATTTCATTATTACTTTCCGTTTCAAAAAAAAATCACTTTATTAAATGGTTTTAAAATCTATAAAGTTTTTTTCCTTGAGAGAGATATGTATTATTGCTTTAATATAGTTAATATTCAAACTAATCCATGGAGTGTAAAATGTAAATATGCACGTACACTTTGTGCTTGAGCAAGGCAAGAAGCTCCTGTACTTAAAGCGAAGACGATAAGCCACTTTTTAGGTTTTATAAATTAGCAGGTCAATTGCCTATTGAATCTCTGGACTTAATTTTTAATCAACTTGCCAGAGTCACCTTTTCTAGCTATTTCTTTCTTTTTTAAGATGCAATTACATCCAAATACCAAATCATAGGAGCTGATAATAAAAGACACGAATTAGCTTCGAAGTATCGATGACCGACTTTCATAATCCCTTGCGGCGTATATATTGTGTTTTTCCGAAAGTCCCCCCTCCTTTGATTCTCTTACCGGTTTTGCTACCTCAACTTTACTCGTTTACCATTGAAAATTGAGCTATGGCTTGTGACTCAGTCAAATCATTCAGTAACAGATAAAATACGACTCTCTCTTAGAAAAATAGTGGATGAATGGCAGAGAAAATGATTTCAAAATAAAATATGCTTCTTTGTACTTTATCACCAATACAAGTTGGAGTCTATTTTAGAATGGAGGATGGCCTCGGAGAATGATGATGTATTAGGTGTGAATTTTCTCCCATGTTTGTAGTACACGGGATAAACTCTAAGCACGTCTAATCCTATTAGTAATTAAAATATATATACCAAAACTTTACATTACGGGAAGCGGGTCACGTTAATTTGATATAATGTTCTCCCTTTGAATCAAAATCGTTGTATTCCCTTTATTATGAAATCATTGTCTAGTTTGTCTACACATTAAGCAAAAGTTATGTACAAGCAACAACAAACACGGCCCTTGAGAGAGAGGAAATAAAAGCAAAAGGAACTTCTATTTGTATGATGAATTTAGTCAACAATGATAGAAAAAGTACAACATATAATAATTTCAACCCAAACCTCCCTTCATTAATTGTATATTTTCACAGACTTCTCGGAAGTGTGGGGGTTCGGAGGTGTTACGCATGAACCGGCGGCAGTTTTAGGAGGAGTTGAATCACAATGCTCCAAACCAAGGAATTGCTGAAAAGTGCCATAAACATTTCTCCTATGATGAAACTGATCCAATACAACGTCCGTGTCTTCAAGATATGCCGGACGGAACAATGATACATTAGTAGCAAACTTCCACTTTGAGAATTTCTCATCTGGAACCTGCAACCTCTTCCGAATCCGCATCTTAACTTCTTCCAAAGTCTCACCCTCATGAACAGCCAGAAAAAATGGTTCTCCAAAGTGTGTAATAAAATAAGTTGATTTCATTGTAAAATGGTATACCTGAATTAATCGATCATTAGGACCAAGGTTCTTTTCTTCTTCCAAAATCTCCTCAGCCCGGAGTTGACCATAAACGTTTTCAATCTTGTCGGCGAGGGTAAAGATCTTAAGTATCTTATGCTCGTAAACCAGAAACAATCTTAGTTCTGCATCTGATTGAGTCAACAACTCCTTCTCGCCCACCTTTGTTTTTACTTCTTTGAGTACATCTTCAACAGTACTCGTTTTTGGTACCTTAACTTTGAGGATAGTAACCTCCTTATCTTTCATGGTGGGGTGAAATGCGATTTCCAGTGTTTTCAGAGACTGTAATTCCGGTAGAGGAATCTCTAGAACCTCGTAGTAAAGAATATTGGAAACCTGGAAGTGGCTGGAAAGCATATTTCCCAAGCGTTCGAGAGGTCGATACTTGATGAAATCGTAATCAGGTTTTTGAGTGATGCAATTGTGGGAAGTAAGTCGGATTTTCAATGGATCGTCCAAACCAATCTTCTCTGCTACTCTCTTTACCACATCATCATAAGTGTTGTTCTTTACCAACTCCAGACAAAAATCATCCTCGTCCGGCTTTTCGAGGTTTCGAAAATGTACAACCAATCGGTTTTGGACATATTCGAAATATGAAGGAACATCGGGATAAGGAAGTTGTTCTTTCTGTTCCGATAAAACAACCTTTTGAAAGCAGATGATAACTCCTTCTTCAATCCAGCTTGATCGGGACAAAGACGATGTATCAAGCCGTTTACACATTACTTTCGACTCCATTCTGGATTCCTCAAAAATTGCAATCTCTTCATCATCAGAACATCCAGCCAACTCTTTTGCTTTACTCAGGAGTTTAGCTATCTTCCCAGATTTCTTCACATAACACCTCCCCACGTATCGAATCTCCTGTTTTTCAGGATCATATAGCTTAAAGAAAATAAGTGTATTTTCTTGTGCTTTTTTCGGCGGTGGCACAGGACGTGAATCCACATCATACTCCACTTCCAAGAACAGTTCAAGTTCAGCATCATAAGTCATGGTTAAATGATTCGTCAGCTTACCAACCTTTTGTGCTTCCTCTTGAGGTGTTAACGGACGACGGGGACGGTTAGTGTATCTCCTTGCCCACAACCAAAAACACTGGCATTCAACCGGTACACCGAATTCCCTGGCAATCTCCTCCTTGAAAGCACTAAAAGGCATCCGTTTATGTACCCGGAAACTCCGAGTTTTGTCTAGGTCAACTAGGCCAAAATACACGTCCTTCCCAATCTGCCGTCTCAGATCCTCATCATGGGCGATCCTGACTTTGGTATATAGGTGTGCCTCGGCTATATCTCTTCTCCATGTCTCCTTCTCTTCTTGCTCCTTCTTCAATCTTACCCTGAGGTGTTCCGCAATGTCCTTCTCATCGACATCGCAAATAATTTTATCCTTGTCGCTTTCCCGAATATACACAAGCATATATGCGCTTGAAGATTTCGTGAATTTGACGGGATTTATATTGAACCCTAGATATTCTCCCTCACCGCCGTACTGTTCTTCCAACGCCTGTTTCTCATCCTCTTTGGTAACTCTTTCATCATTGAATTTATACCATTGATCATCTAGATTTGGCCTGATGAAAGCGTAGTAGTGTCCACCTCGTAAGCCGCCGCTGTGGACCAGAACACTATGAAGTGTGTATAGGTTTCGGACACTTCTATCCGAATCAGGAGACAAATACTTGCCGTCCTCCCTATCAAGATCGAGTTGGAGAGGGAACTCATACCGATCATTTATCTTAACCATTGAATCACTCGAAACGTCATACTCAAACCGCTTGAGATGAAGCTGAAGCACAGGAGGGAAGTCGGTGAAAAGAACACCTTTCTTAGCATCTTGCAAGCCATGTCCTTCAGCTTGGTACTTATTCTCACCATCAAGACGTTCAACTTCCACATACTTATCGAACGACGCGTACACGTCGTCGCAGCCTTTGACATCAAGCTGAAGATCATAGAACGTCTCCTTTCTCGTCGATTTAAACTCGACGTCGATGCATTCGATATAGTTCATCAGGTTCCCTTCAAACAACTTCCGCATCGTCCCTTCAACCACAGTTCCCTTCATCTTATCCTCAAGCTTTTCACACAAAACCCGATTCAGTTCCTGAACATCCTGCTGCGTGAAAGAGTCAGATCTGTCCCACCCGAAAGACTTGGTCAACTCTTTGGTCCCAACACTTGTGATAGTACACTGAAGCTTATAAAACAAACTCTGAAGAGCAAGAGGAATACTTTTTGAAGGCTCATCATTCTCCGTGGTTGGCATGTGATAAACGGATTTTCTAAAGTAAGGAATATGGTACAACGTTTGGAGAAGAGAGTTCATGTAACAAGTTGCGCCCTGATTCTCCAACCCTACAAAACTGGTCTCTTTCTTTGAATCACAAGCCAAGTAATTATCCCCGACATGATTCACAGAAACATCAGCCACAACAACTAAAGTGTCGTCGACAACGTAACCCTTGTCGAGATCGTAAAGCTCAGAAATAGGCATAAAACGCATAAAACCCCGGCACTGGTCCCGATCGTTGTAGGCCGTAGTTTTTTGTTGTATAGCCGTGTGCTTGTTGTTATGAAGCTGATCAACAACACCTAAGGTGAGGTGGGCGTGAAAACTCCATCTATATGGCAGTTCATCAGAAGAATCAGCAACTCTTAAGAAGATGGTCAAGAAGTCGTCCACTACGTCTCCTTTTGGGTAAACCACCACCTGCCAGCTGTAGCCTCCGGCGAAAAACACATCGGAATAATGGGCCGTCTTTTTACTACGAGAAAATTTCTTTATGGTCCATGTGAATCGTGGTGGTGCTTTGGGCTCATCATCTGAAGATACTACTTCCTTGGATTGCCGAGGCTTATCATCTCCTCTTGGTTTTCTTTCATGGGTTGATACGGTGGAGGATGCATCACCGTTCCAACCGGGGATAACTAAAACTACTACAATGATATAATAGGTCCGATAGAGAAGAAGAAGTATATATTTATAATAGAGAGAAAGAGAGTAGAGATTTGGCAATTTTTATGGACATATCCAAATTCTAACTGTAATAGATAATTCAATGTATACGTAGATTACAACAATTATTTACTTTCATGGGTGCGAAAATCCTAGTTCTAGATCCATCGAGGTTCCAATTTTTTTTATGGATTGTCTTCCCGCAATCGTAATATGCGGTTTTATTCAGAAGCCGCAAACCTAGAATGCGGTATTAAAAAACAACGCAGAGGCCTATTGCAGAAATAAATTAAAACCGTAAAGCTCGAATGCGGTTTCGTAAATCCGCAGACTTTATGCGGTTTTATTTGAAACGTAACTTCAAAAATATAATTAATTAAATTCAATTTTATTAAATCAGGATTAATGAACAGAATCGCCAAGTTATACTCCTGTTATATAAAATACCGCAAGGTTCTATCGGATTACAGAACCGCGAAATTCCTATGCGGTAGTATATATCTGAACCGTAAACATCCTTTGTGGATTTTAAATTATTAATAAACTAGGTGTTAGACCCGTCCGATGGACGGGGAACACATATACATAGATATTATTACACAAACAAATCAAAAAAATGTTGATATTTGTATAAATTTTTGTATTTTTATAAAATATATAATCAATTTATTAAAAATTATAAAACACAAACATCGACAACAATTTATCAAACGAATATACTGGTAATTTATTTAACGCAAAAAATATTGTTAAGAAATTTAAAAAAAAACAAGAACTTTGAATGAAATAATTATATATCTTGCAATATTTCTTGATAGACTATATTGGTAGTTTGGGGTAGAAAGGTAAGCTAGGGTGGTTAAGAAATTATGATAAGAAATTTTTTTTTTTTTTTTTGAAAAGGCTTATGATAAGGAATGGTTACTACAGAAACAACAACCCTAACTTGTTGTAGAGGCCATCCAATTTTTTTATAAGAAAAATTAAAAAAAAATAAAAAATGTTGGATATCAGGACCTTTATTCCTTGTTTCCGAGTAACTTTTGATTTTACTGTTTTTTTTATTTTTTAGCCTCATTTGTTCGTTTGATTTAGTCATTTCTCATTACCTATCTAATAATTTATCTTTAATTAACTTACCCGTTGTCAAAATATTTTATTTAAAATGTGAGAGTGGGACTATTTTTTTACCTTTAAAGAATATCATTTACTTATTTTTTTTATTAATATCTTTCTAGACACTTTCGCGAATGTCAAATCCATCCTGCTCATTTTTTTTTTCGAATTAAAGTTAGATTTTTTAAGAAAACAATTTAAAATTTGGTTCAAAAAATCATAAATTTGCCACATAAGATTTAGTCATATTTATGCATGATACGATACCTTAGATTTTCCCTCTCTGGAGTTTGCTTTACTATAATATATATATATATATATATAGAGAGAGAGAGAGAGAGTTCTTTTCAGGAAAAAAAAGGAACCAAAAATTAAGAGCCCAATATTTAGCCGCATAGACCCCTTAATATTTATTGAAAACACGAAACATTTAGCAGTCACACACAATTAGACAAATAAATTTATCTTATTAAAAAGCACAAATATTTTTTTAGGAAACAGAAACCGGGATAAAAAAAATTAAGTAAATAACCAATTCAACAATCACTGTACCATTGTTGGAATGTAGTGTGCATAAAAAATCTATGCAAATTTTCAATGGAATGATGAGCACAACCTAAACTTGAAATTCATTACCAAGATTAGCGAAACAGAGGTAATAATCAAACTATTCTAGATTTCAAAACAAATAGCACCGTTAGAATCATGATTTCATCAGCATTCAAGAAAAACCATTTCGTCAGTATTCAAAGCCGTTTCTTGATTCCGTTTCTGCATGACAAATCAAATAGCTTCTCAGCTATTTTGCTTTCTATCAATCTTCAGACCATTTTTGTAAGATCCCGAGTGTTGAGACCTCCTTACTTAGCGAGTAGTAGTTGATTTATGTATAAATTAGTATATTTATTTATAATGTATGTACATTTTGCCATTTAGGTTCAAGAAAGATAAACTAAAAATTTGGATTTCAAAACGTTAAAAAAGAAGAAGAAAGAATAGCCATAGTTGAAGCCTTTTAATATTTTTATCCTTTGCCAGAGCCATTCTTAGCCCCGCTACATCAACCCATCACCATAGTATTTTAACTCAATTCCATATTTGAAGCTAAATTATAGAAGTTTCAGGTTGGCCTAACTTCTTTAATTATTCTAATCAATTATTAATATAAAATTCTTTTTCAGTTGCGTTTTTTTTTAGGAGGAAGAGATCTGTCCATCGGATTTGCAGGGATTTCGTCGAATCAATATAGGGTTTGGATTTTTTCAGTTGCGTTTTTTTTTTTTTTTGGTTTTTATTGTTTTGTTTTGTGCATTTTTATATCTAGAAAATAAAGAAAATGCCACATAAGATTTTTATTTTTATATCTAGAAAATAAAGAAAATGCCACATAGGATAAAATCCTATGTGGCATGTGCTCCTTAATTTTAGATTTCTCTCTCTGGTTTTTGTCTTAGTATAGTAAATAGATAGATAGATAGATATATAGACTAGATGTTACCTGCACGATGTGCGAGGTATAAAAATTCACGTTGCTTCAATCATGTTATGGTAATTATGACAAAAATAATAATTATGTTATAATAGTAATTATGTTAAATTTTATCGCTACAACTCTCACTTATTTTTAGAGAAAAAGGAAACTTTTATTAAAGAACAAAACTAATCAAACTGAAACTAAAAGTTAAATATGCATCAATACAAAAAAAAATACCAACATCTAAGCAAAAGTTTAATAGAATTTACCGATTCAGGATCCAATGATTTTATGTCTTTTACATTCAGTTTCATGAGAGTTTATATCCCAAAGATTTTGTCTTAGTTAGTTACACACATTATCTTAAGTATAGAAAAGAATAAGTGTTTTGGGAAAAAAAAAAAAGAAAAAAGAAAGAAAAAGCATTAGATGATATTGCTTAAGTTCGCAATTCTTAACTATTTATTTATTTTATTAGTTTTCTAAATTTTTTTAATAGACTGATGTTAATTTTTTTTGGGGTAAATATGGTAAAAAAAAAAAAAAACTCATGAACTCGGGTTAAAATGACATATATTAAACTAGAACACTTATTCACATCTCATTTACTAACTAAACACAAACCTTTTAATTAATTTTGATGGAATATTTGTAAAAATTTGATTATGTAATCTGCATATTACCCAAAATATTATAACCGTACCATGCGCGATGCTTTTAATATTTGCAAGGTAAATTATTAATGAACATGGGATGAATCAAGTTTTTCGTCATTAAATATTTGAATTGGAGAATAGCTTCAGCTGTCTTCAAAGGAGAATAGCTTGAGTTCTACTTCAATCTATATAGCCCAACATAGTGTTAAATGTTAATGTTCTTACCCCCCAAAAAAGAGGAAAAATATCACTCGGTTGTTGTATTGTACCAAGAATTTCATGAGAACCTTCCATAGAACCATGAGACTATTTAGCCAGAAAAAAATTGAAATCGATTAACTTTCAAATTTACTTTTTTTTTTAATCCAAAAATTGCAACATTATTGTCTAGTAAATATTGTTGCTAGGAAATAAGGAAAATTCAAAATGCTTAATGTACTTTCAGTAAATATGTTTATTTGTTGTGATGAAAATGAATCAGATGTGACTCCAGTATGCAATTTTACAAATCCGTCCACCTTTTGAGATGCTAATTGTACTTACACTGTTCAACAATAAACAGATCCATAAAACAGTGATTACTTGAAGTATCTTGATACCATTGATGTAGATCTATTGGAACCTATCCAAAAGGGAAGGGACAGATTATTTGTCCTAAAATTAAGATGAATTGATTGATCTGTAAATGTCTATTGACACATGCATAATGTGGGATCGAATATTCCATTATGCCCATCACTATTTTCACGTACGGAAAATAAACATTATAAAACATTCTTGGCTGCAAATCTCAAAATTTCTTTTGTGAAAAATCATTTCAGCTAAGAATTAAAACCCTTGGCTACACATCCAGCATAAAACACAAAACCTGAAATATATGAGAATCTAAATTAGCTAGTTTTACGTACAAATTTTAAAATATTGATTAATCTCTTCTGATTAGGATACGAGTTACTTAAATCAGAAAGATGTAAAACAACAAACAATGCCCGAGAAAAAAATATAACAAACCTCTAGGGTGACGCCTTGCAAATGGCACCTCAAATAAGTGAGCTTTCTGAAGATACTTTCACACTGCCCATTTTTTGCATCTTCTTACTTCACGGAACGACAATGATTAAAAGAAATAAAATGCAAAAAGAAGTAAAATGAAAATAAAACACAGATGCGCCATGGTAATGCCATTCATCATGCCTTTTAAGCCAATTAAATATAGTTAAATACACAATTAACTTCATGCATGGAACTAAGTAGATATATAGATTCATGAGAAAAATATATAGTGATTTATG